TTTTTTTTAATTTTTTTTTAAATTTTTTTTTTTTTTTACCGCTGAAGCTTCTTTCTTCAGATGGGCGGACCTGAAGAAAGGCAGGCTGGCTGCTTTGGGCTGGACTGTGATTTTTGAGGCTGTGTGGTTCTGTGGTTTGTTTTTTAGTTGGTTGTTTTTTGTGGGTTTTTTTTTTGTTTTGTTTTTTTTTGACTTGTAAATCTGTTGCAGGCAAGTTTATCTCAAGGCTGAATCCCAAATATTTACTTGCTAAATGTTGCATGCACTTTACACACAATCTGTAAATGCATGTCTGTTCTCATCCCCAAGATGAAACTGAGGCTTTTCATATAGATTTGATTATTCCAGTTGAATGCAACTTGCTTTGAAGAAAATATTCTCACTTGAGGTCAGTTTGCTGTGCAAATGAATTGGGCTGAGTTGGCATAAAAAGGCGTGGAAAAGTTGGTGTCATTATACGTTTTAGCTTACATTATTGATGGAGACAGAGGTGATTTTTATGGGGTTTTGGATGAAGTGTGGGGTTTTTCTTCCCGTCTTCTAAGTTTACTTATATGTGGCAGTAGCTTTCTAAAAAAACGCTGATTGAGACAATCAGTTTGTTTTCTTTTAGTCTAAACCAAAACATCAACATTTAAATTTAAACAAGTGAAAAACCCAAAGACCAACAAGAAAAAAAAAAAACAACCAAAAACCAACAAAAACCCTAAACCAAAACCCAACAAAACTTCCCAGTTTGTTCTGATGAACATCTTAGTGTCTGGCTTAAAATGTAGACTCAAACTGGAGCTTTTCCGAGGTCTGTTCAGTGGGAATGAGCTCTCCCACCAGCACGGTGTTTGTAGGCACCCGATTTGGGGAGCGAAGGCTCAGACGCTGGTTGCTCCGTGCTATGAGGGGCATAGAGAAGGACATCGCCTGCAGCCCCCGTAGCTTTTAACCAGGAGATGCCACCCTCCTGAGCCTATGCAGGTCTGCCTGTCCCTTAGGGACTGACAGCCGCCCGCAGCACTGACATCCCTGCTCTGAACCGCTTTCAGTCTGCGACGAGCACTCGGACTACAAGGACGCCAAGCTGCTGTACCGCTTCCGCAAGGACGACGGGACCTTCCCTCTCAGTAAGGACGTGAAGGTGTTCATGAGAGGGCAGAGTCTTTACGAGAAGTACGTGAGTCCTTCCCCGGCAAAACAGCTCCCAGCGAGGGGCGGTGGGAGTGCGCTCTGGCTGTGCTTGCTGCTGATGCTCTACAGCCGGGAGCTACAGCTGGCTTTTCTCTTCCTCCTCTGCACCCTGTGCTGTACCACTGGGAAATGCTGTTTCCTGAGCCCCGTCACAGCCACAGGACAACGGGCCCCTTTGGGGCTGGGCCAGGAGATGGATTCTCAACTTGGATGCTTTTGGGGACTCCAACCCAAGCGCAGGTCCTGGGACCTGGCCCGGGGAAGTGCTGGGGTCCAGGCTGCAGTTTGAGTGCTCCTGGGATGGGCATGTCCCGTGGCCATTCCCAGCCTCCCTGGGAATGTCGCTCCCACCAGCACTGTTAGGATTTACGTCCCACCAAAATGAGGAGGGTAGAGGATCTTCAGGGCCCTGGATCCCTGCACCTCGCTTGGCCTATTTGCAAAAGTCGAAATGAAAAAACTAATTCTCAAGCAGTAAAGAAAACTCCTCTCGCCTCAAAGTGTTTAGTTTTCTTTATGTTGATTGTTTCTGGTTCTAAATCTAAGCTATCTTTCCCAGATAACTCACGAGTCCTTTTGTTAGACTGGGTTCAACCACAGACCCACCCTGTTTCCTTTAACAGCCTCTTCACATCATCTGCATCCTCAAACCTTGGCAATCGGATTCACAACCTGGCACTGAGGGACAATTCCTTCAGCCAGGCTCGGGGTGGGGGGAGGATTTTGGCTCCCTGCCCCTCTGGCAGACGTGCATCCCTTGTACTTTGCTTTTAGTCAGGGGTGGTGGCCGTGGGACCAGGGAGAGCATCCCACGTGTCCCACAGCTGAGCCCGCTGCACCCTCTCGTGGAGACGCTGCATTTAACTCTCGATTATGCTGCAAACCGAGTATGTGTTTACAGAAACGCACCTTCTCCATCAATTTGGATTATCTGCCATGTGCTGTGTGCATTCGGTTTCTTGCTTGGCTTTCCCCCGCGGGTTTCAGCTGAGGTCGCAGCTGAACTGGTTTTGCTGAAGCTGCTTCCCCCCGCTGTGAGAAGATTTACAAAGCTACCTGACTGCAGCTCTGCATCTCTCCCTCCCTTCCCGCTGCTCCCAGGCAGCACCGTTTCGGCTGTAACGCTTTACCCGCTTCTCTGGGCCTCGCTTCGGCCGGCTGCAGCCCCCGGGTGGGATGGCAGGGCTGCACAGCATCCCCTCTGTGCCAGGCTGGTGAGCGTGGAGGAGTCAATTCTGAAGGTGAGAGAGGAGAATTCGGTGAAGTACCAGAGGACTTTCTTGGGCTGCGAGATGGTCGACTGGCTCGTTCAGGAGGGAGAAGCGGAGAACCGAAAGGAAGCAGTGGAGCTGGGACGGGCGCTGCTGGAGCATGGGATCGTTCAGCACGGTGAGCGAGGGTCCGGCTGGAGCCGGGATGGAAAGCAGGAGATGAGCGTGGTTGTCAAGGCTGTGCTAGGAACAAATCCCCATTCATGGCGTGAAACAAGTGCTGGTCAAGTGCCCATTTGGAGATGGCAATGGGGCCTTTTAGTTCTATGTTTGGAGCCAGTGACCTTTGAAATTGGATCAATCTTCCACCACCCACAAAGGCTTTGAGTTGAAATCTGAGCTATTGCTCTTCAGATCTTCAAAGCCTCCAGCCGCAGGACTGGGATCCACCCCTGGGTTTGGAGGGCTGGGCTGTGAGGATGTAGGGTTCTGCTATGCTTGGCTGGAGATCATAACCATCTGCAGGAATTCAACATTCAATTCAGAGGGCAGGGAGGCCTCCGAGTGTCTTGGGGCAGGCAGGGGCCTGTGACTCGGTGGTGCACCCCCGGGAGATGACGCCTCTTGGGGAGGTGGCCCTGCTGTTCCTCCTTCCCTGCAGGTAGCATTCTCCAACAGTCCAAAAAACTGCCATAGGACGCAGAGACATTAAAAGCAATTCATCTGGGTCCCTCGGTATATTTGCTGTATGTTTTTCAAAACCTCTCAGCCTCTCCCTCGTCCCCTATTCTCTCCTAGTCTCCAATAGGTATCACTTCTTTGACAGTGACATCCTCTACCAATTCTGGATCAACTTTCGCCGGAGGTGCCGTCTCACAGAGTTACTCAATGAGAACTCTTCTCGCGCCCTCTCGGAGAGCCCGGACAGTCCCTTCTGTCTTCGCAAGCTCAATCCGGACCCAGGCAACACCAGCTTTCTCTCTGGTAATGGTGGATGTGTTATGTGGAGGGCTGGGAAAGCAAGGGTTACGTTGCCAGAGCATCCCAGGGCTGAGGGTGTTCCTCCAGGCATCCCGTGACCACCCATCTCACTGGTTTGTGGTGGATGTCATGATGCACTGGCAGCCTCCACCACAGCTCCCCATCCCAGGAAAATAACTCAACTTACCATCAGCTCAGCTCTTGGTCTTTCTCGGAAGCTGGTTTTATTCTTTCTAAGCTCAAATGCTGTCCTTGGTCCGTGGTTACCTTTCAGATGTGGGTCAGGCTGGTGGGGGAAGTTTGTTATTTTAAACTAGTCTGTTCCTTCCTTTGGCTAATTGTTATTTCTGCCTCTTTTAGTCCAGACCAACAAGGAGATCAAAATTGTCTCAGCGGTTCGAAGGAGCAGCATCACTTCCCTTGCTGGAAACTCCAACCCCTACTTCAGCACTACTCCTGCGCTTGTATTCCCTCCTGTGGCTGAGTGCAACCCCAAATCAGGTCTGGGGTTCTGCGGGGCCCTGTGGCTGCACAGGATAAAGCTTTCCTTCAGGGCACGGGCTAGCTCAAGCCTCAGGTCCAAACCCCTCCACTGTCAGCTTGGTGACTTGCAGGAGGAGAGGGTCAACCTCACCTCCGAGCCTTGGAAAGTTGTGCAAGCCCTTTGAAAAACATTGAGATGAATGCAAAGATTTCTGTGGGTAGTAACTGTGGCTGGTCCTAACATCTGTTTGCCGGCCCATGGTAATCCCCGGGCTGCCTTGTTATGCGCTTTACTGTATGAAACCCCTGATTCTGATAGGATCTGTCACCTTCTGCTCTAGTGTTAAGGAGACCCGTCACCAACGAAGAGCTCCTGTCCCCTGGGGCCCCTTACGTCAAGAAAACACTAACTGTAAGTGACCACAGCGAATGGTACTGCCAACCCCACAGTACTGAGTGCTCTGCCTGCTCTTCGGTAGCTTTCTGCCTGCTGCGCCGACCTCTGTACGTTTGAAACTTTGACTGCATGTCACATCACCACCGCTCGCTCTTGGGGGGTCCCGGTGGGTCAATGTCTGCAGAATATTCCTGTGGGTGAAAACGTGCGCAGCCTCCGCTTTAGCTTAACGTATGTCAAAGGGGTGGATCAGGAAAGAGAATGTTTCCTGGGCAGGAGAACTCCCGTTTATATTTCCCCCAGCTCCATGCAGACTGTATAATCAGTTAAGTCTTGTGACAGTTGAGTCCTCGGGGTCACACAGGTATCACCTTTACGCATCTCTCAGGTTCCTGCTGCTGATCAGATATGCTGATATGGCCCGTCAGCATCTGAGGGCCACTCTTCCCTTTCTTTGGATTGGATTTTTTTTTTTTTTTTTTTTTCTCCAGGATGCTGCAGACAACCTGAGTTTTGGGCTTTTGCTTTTCCAATTATTTTGAAAGCTGTAGGACCAGTCAAGGCAGGGCTGACGGGTGCTGAATGTTGCAAGACTGTTCCTGCCCTGCATATTCTATCCTGCTTGTTTATTTTTGTGTAAAACTTCTCAGCTCTTTCCTGCCCACCTTTGAGAGGGGGAATCTCACCAGTTTAGAAAGTGCGAAGGCTGTCTTGCCATTCCGGTTTGACACGAGTAGGGTTACAGAGGAGCTGTGGATCAGGTTCCCGAATTAACTGTGCCGTAGAAGTTGGCGCGAAGGAGAAAGAAAAATAAAGCTGGTCATTAGTGTGGCATGTATGAGGATGTGTTGTTCATTCTCCTCCTGAATGTTCTTGCCCGGCCCTTCAACTCTGCCAGCCTCGGCCTTTCATGGCTCATTTCCTTCTGCTTAGTGTGCAGTTGCTCTTATTTATTTATATGGGTAACGTGCAAAGTCCCTTGGGAATTCCTTTTCTCTTTTAGTCACGTCAGATGGCCGCAGCACTACCGCAAACTGCTCTGACAGACTGAGATCAGAGTGGGAAAAAAATAAGAGTGGCTACTTCCACCCTGGAAACGCTCTTCTGTGCCAAGGAAAAGGCGTCGTGCGCGTGCTCTGGAAATGTTCTCAACACGTTCTTGGTGCATGCCTTGTGCTTCAGCTTCATGCTGCCCGTGCTTCACTCTTCTACACTTGCTGGCAGGGGATATTAAACAGAAAGCAGCGTTGCGGAGAGCAATTATTCTGTGGTTGTGCATCTCGCTTGGTGCACAGCCCTTTCTCTCCCACTCATAGATTAGGATCAGGAGCTGAGCTCTCCATCTCACTAGAACTGTTCCATCTCCTCAATCCAGCCCATCCCTTGGTTTTTAAAACCCTTTTGTTCTGTTTTGTAGATTGTGGGGGATGCAGTGGGCTGGGGGTTTGTGGTCCGGGGAGGACGACCTTGTCACATCCAGGCAGTGGACCCAGGAGGACCCGCTGCTGCGGCAGGGATGAAGGTACTTCTCACTTGTGACTTACCTGGCGGCAGGGACTTATGTCCTGTTTGAGATTTCAGGCTGAACACATCCTCCGTGATAATCCCACCTCCTGCAGTAGAGATCACTTTGACTGAGTCTGCCCGTGGAGCAATGGCGGGGCGGTGAGAGGCGGAGGGAAGGATTCTCTCTGCAGGCCAAGTGCAGTGTGTGTGCCTGCGCGGCGGCGGGTTTGTCTTTTGCCAGGGCAGCACAGGGGCTGGGGGCAGCTAAACCCCCAAAAAACTCCGTCAAAACTGAACCGTCCCTGTGGTAGACTTTGGGGTTGTAGAAACTGTTTGAGTCGCTAGAAACGAAGCAGAGAATTCCCAGCTCAGCTCCAGTAGCTGTATCTAACCCCAAAGGACTGGAGCTTTATCCTGAACCTGGCTTTCACAGACCCTGCGCTGTGCCACGCAATTTGTGTTCCTCTGCTGTTAACGGTGTAGTTCTGTGTGGAACTATTTGCCATGTCCATGAAAGCGTAATAACTTCAGACTGATGCCTTGCTTTGATTTGTTGAGTAACTTCCAGTATTTCCAGCCCAGGTGAAATAAACTGAGGTCTTGAAACTCATTTTAGACCCAGGCACATAGTGGTTTTGCGTGTCAAGTTTTAGGCATGAAGGAAAGAAATGTTGAGTCTCATGGTTCCCTATAAAAACCCCAGCAGTGAGGGAGTAATTTTGACAAGCTGATATAAGTCTAAAGTCATGTGGATATTTGAAATAATGGGATTCTTCAAAGGCAGAGTGTGACTCCTTGTTTGCCTCGGGCAGGATTGGAAGGGGATGGATGAATTTGTTTCATTTACTCAAGAGCCCAGTTAATTTCTCCTTACCTAATCTCATTTGCTACCAGATTGCTGGATGTTAATATCGTGCCTCATTTCCATCTGCGAAATGAACCACTGCTCGTAAATGAGTTGGTTTGTTTATTTTTTTCCTCTCTCTGTTAGCTCATGGTCTATATCCCTTTGGTCCCTTTTTTATGATGTAGTGATCATAGCACCGTGATTATTAGTGTAGCTTACAGAGTGGTAATGTTTTAGAGGTTGCAGGATTTTGTAGCAAGTTATTTGCTTTGCAGCCTCTGGCTCGAGTCCATCACGGGCAGAATTTGCCAAGAAGACATCGGCTGAAGGTAACCAGCCTTTCCTCTCCCTGCAGGTGTGCCAGTTTGTTTTCTCAGTGAATGGTGTGTATGTTTTGCATCTGGACTATCAAACCATCAGCAGCCTCATCATGACAGGACCACGAACTCTCGTGATGGAAGTCATGGAATCCGTTGAATGAACAAAGGAGTCTTCATCCCACGGCTGTTTGGAAAGGCAGGACACTCCACTCAGCAAGGACGGACTGTGGGGAGGGACCAAGCTTGACCATTCACTGTGAAATGTTAACCAGGCGTTTTAATATATTTTCAAATAAATACATTCTAATGGACAAGTCACGAATTTTGCTGTTGTTGAAATATTGGGCTCTACCTGTTGTTGAGAGGGTCTGAGCTCCCGCAGGCCCTTCTTAATGCCAGTGGGGTTGTTCAGCACGTCATGAAACCGAGTCTTAGAACAAGTCATTCACCCAGTCAAGCTGCGAGGCTGGTGGTACAGGCTGGGAAGCAGCAAGAAGTTTGATACCAAGCAAGTGAGTATATCTGAGCTCCCCTCAGTTGTCTGTGCAGGCTACCAAGGACACAATGTGCTTTCCAGATGGCCCGATAAGCCGTGCCATTGACTCTGTCAAGAAAATAAGGAAATGAATACGGTGATATATGCTTCCTTGTAAAGAAAGCCCAAGGCTCCTGCTACTCTCTTGGCTTAGCCACGCTCACAGCCAGGACTGTTTGCTCTTTCCCTCTGTTTCTTGCAAAGGTGAGACTTCCATGACTCTGCTTTTTGTGCTCCCAACCCCTAATAATGCTTAAATTCATTAACCAGCTTCACCTCAGCATGGAGCCAGGCAGAGGTCCCAAACGTCATAGGATGCTGCCAACCTAGTGCCGGGAGGCAGTGGGGGAGAGGAGAGACCCTGAGCGGTGTCTGCCCAAAAGGAAATGCGTCATGGTCTGAGCGTGAATCTGGGAGGGAACAGAAATTACTGAAAGCCACCAAAATCCAGCCCCTGTGCCCTGCTGCATTAGCAGACGGTACAGAATATGGATGTGCAGGCTACCCCGAAAATGGACTAAATTTAGGATAACGGATAATAACAAGAAACTGGGGAGGTTTCTTGCTTTCCAGTTCACAGCGCATCCTGCTCGCCCTCAGCCTGCAATGCTGTGCCTAGAGCAGAACGATTTCCAGGGCTCCTGCTTAGGGCAGATCCCTCAGTGCAGCTCTTTTGGGCACTAACCAAGTCTTAAAAAAATAAAATTAAAAAAAAAAAATATCCTAACCTAAGAAAACAGTCATTTTGATTTGTGCTAAAGTGGGAGCTGTTTTTCTTGGAAGATCAGGTGTCAGCTGTATATTAAGTATTGCATTACTGTTGGCTGTCTTTTTTTTTTTTTTTTAAATTTTTATTTCCTTGATATCAAGGGCTGTGTGCTCCCCCAGTGCTGGTGCAGAGGTAACAGGACTCAGCATTCCTGGAACATGGTCCAAGCAAGATGTTTGCACTGATAATCCATTGGGGTCCTTCCAGCCCCTAAGTGAAACCAGACAATCTTCTATTTGTCAATATACTCAGTTATTTCTAGCCATTCAGTGCGCAAGCAAAGCAGCATCCATCTGCCTTTTTCGCTTGTTAAATCCTGGTTTGCGGTGTTGTTCAGGGAGGGTTTGGGTGTCTGCAGCGGCCCTGAGGTTTAATCCAGAGTGTTGGGCTTGAACTAAACTCAAAGGCAGGCGACCACAGCGTTTTGTGGGCACCCTGAGAAAGGTAAGCCAGCAAGCAACAAGCTGAACATAAGCACTGGAAACAGCTCCAGATTTTTCTGGCAGAAACAGAGCATGAATTTTAGTCCTGGATCTAAATTCCCTGAAAGTGAAGTGCAGGAGAACTCTGCTCTCTTCTTTCTCACCTCTTCCCATTTTTAAAGTAAATCGTAGCAAATCTGAGCAACTACAGAAATCCAGTAGGAATTACAGAAGAGGTAACTCGGGGTATTTACATGTAGGGCAGCGACAACTCTGTCTTCTACGGTTACCAAATGCTCCATGTTTTGTTTTAACAAGATCTAAGGGATTTCTTTTGGTATTATCCTTTGGCCTGTATACTAGGATGCTTTTTAATATTCACTAGATTATAAACTACCAAATGCTTCTTTAATTTGCACAAATATTTAAAAAAAAGGTGGGTTTGGGGGTTTTTCTTTCTATCTGAGTTGATGCTTTCAAAGGTGCCCGTGTTTCCTATGGGGCAGCAATCCTGAGTTTCTTGCAGCTCGCTCTGTTGCAATGGGAGACTGATGCTGACAGTCCCTGGAGATGCAGCTGAAAATCTGGCCTCCATTTGTAACGACAAATGCCACTGTCAGTTCTTCCATTCCTGGCAAAGAGGACAAAATCTTCCTGAAAAAAGTTTTTGGCGTGGAGCTGGGCGCCTCTCCCAGGCGCTCCTGGGGCTGGGGACCACGTGCGGATGGAGGTCAGGGCCGTATCCCGCAGCTGGGGAGTCTGAAGCACCATTGAGCTCCAGTTCATGATTCAGCCTCTGGCCTTGCAAAACTTACAGATGTGCTTAATTTCCTTAAACAAATGCAACGCGATTTTGCCTTCAGTGCAAACGCTCTCAAAAATATTTAATGGGATGTGAGCGGGGCCGGACTGACTTCACCCCTGGGAGCCTGACAGTGGGCGGGAGCCACGACTTGTTGCTGCACTCTAGGAAATCAGTGAGCAGCTTCCTGGACATATATTTAGCATTTAGTTAGCAAAACTACGGAAAGCTGTTTACTGGGTTTTTTTTGTTTGTGTGGGTTTTTTTGTTTGTTTTTTTTGGTTTTTTTAAAATTTTTTAGAGGCAGCCTCTTGCTTTTCACGCACGCTTTATTTAGCTGCACGCAGGGGCCAAGCAGCGATCTCCCCTGCGTGGTGAGAGGGAGGTGGGGGAATCACTGTCCCTCTCCCCCTGCTCTCCCTCCCCTTCCTTATTCCTCCTGACGTCTGGGAATTGAAATCTCTGATCACGCCGAGGAGCAGACGAGGCGCCAGGGCTGCTTCTCCCACAATTTAAGAATGTAGCTGGATTCATCGCACCCCCCCGGCTGACTCCAGAGGTCTGTGGCTCGTTCCCCTTCGGGGCTCGGTTCGCAGGGATGCTGAGGAGGGGCTGGGTTGCTCTGGGACACGCGTGGGTATTGGCAGAGCAGGGAACTTCTGCAGGGCTTTGGTCTCCGGGAAACTTGGAGCTGGGGCAGCGCTGCCGAGGCTGCATGGGGGTGGCGGGTCTCATCCACTCATGGTGAAGTAGGTTCCAGTCTCAAATTCACTGCAGGTCAAGTCTAAATAGCGCCAGGGCTGCTTTAGCAATTATTTCGGAGGGATGGCTGAGAGACGTGTACATTGGTTTGGGTTTTCTTCCGTCTGTTTTGTGGTTACTGCTATAAAACGTTAGCAGTAGCAGTGGTCTGGGTGGGTTTTTCCCACCTGGAGGTGTGGTGTGGGTCTGTATCAAGCTGATGTTACTAAGCCTGCCCAGGCTATGGGGAGCTCAGCCTAGAAGTGAAAATTCTGCCTTACTGTTTTGAGACTAGTGCTGGGATAATTGAGGCTTTTTGTTCAATAGTGGAACTGGAATACAGATTTCCAGGAGAGAACGAAAGGGTTTCATGGATAGGATTTTTTTTTTATTTTATTTTTTTAAAGTCTGGTTTAGGTCCTTTAACTAGCAAAGCACTCGGAGTGTGGAACAGAACCTGCTGCTGGCTACCTCGGGCAGGTCCCTGCTCTCTTGGGCCATGAGGTGACATTGCTTCTGCCAGCGATCCTGTGCAGAGATGGTGATGCCCTCTGGGGTGGGGAAATGTCCCCAAACTGTGGCTGTGGCGGGTGGAAATAACTCACAGTGCCCCCAGATCCCCGCTTTTAGTTGTGCTGATTTAAACTTGTGATAGTGATATTTTTCATGGGATTTTATTTGAGAGGCTACTTTTAACATTTCCTGTACAAATAAGGGGATCTCTGACTGCCTTAATCTCCAAATCCCCTCTGAGCACACAGATGGGGTGAGCGGGAAGTGGTGCGTGTCCCCCACACCCATTTTCCAGGTCCTGGAAATACTCACCAGATGCTCCATGTGTTGCTGTCTCCACATTCCTTCCCAGGGTAACGGGAGAGAGGCATCAGCGTGCCGGAGGCTCCCTGCCTGCCAGCTGGCTGATGTCACCGTGGTCCCCTCCATCCCAGGGTCCACAGCTCAGACTGGCTGGGGTGGTGGACCAGCAGGGGCAGAAATGGATGGGAAGGGACTAGCGAGACCTGGAGTAGGGTCTTGGGGTCCAGGAGGTAACCTGCAGCGAGGGAGCTCCCCCAGCTGTGTATCTTTGACCATGTCAGACTGGGGCGTTTCTTGCTCCCGCTTTGCAGGTAGGAAAATGGAAGTTGGAGAAGAGGTAAAATAGCGATGGGTTTTTCCTCTGAGCTAGGAAGAAGAGATGAAGTCCCGGCTCCTCGCTTTAGCCGCATTAAAGATCCACACCCTGGGGACTGATTGGATCCAACCTGGGTTAATACTGAACTGTCTCCTTACTGACACATCAGGGTGGAAGCTCCTGGCCGGCTGGGGCCCTGCAGGGAGTTCAGTGCAGGCTGGAAAAGCCTGTGTGTTTATTTTACTGGATTTCTGGTCCCATATAATCCTGATTAACATGAAAAAAAAAATCACACACAGTCCAGTTCTTTTGCCAGAGTTTGGCATCCCATTTGCCAGCAGAGCCACGGGGAAGTTGCAAGGGAATTAAGAGCAGTTTGGTGGCATTGAGAAATGGCACAAATGAACTTTTCATCGGGGGAATTTTTCCAAGCACAGGCTTCTTGCTGTTGTTTGGCACATGTGCCTCTGCAGCCACGGCAGGCTTTGCTTTTCTTGAGGTGACAGTCAGACTCCTGTAACCCACCTGTAAAATGTCTGTTGTTTTTTATAAGCAATGACTTCATTTTATTAGCTGGGGAAAAAAAAAAAAAAAAAAGGCAAGTGTTTCCCTTGGCTAAAGGCTTCAGTTACACTGCAGTTGTTCTGTATAACCTGATCTTCAATCAAAAAAAAAAAAATCACAGACTGAGCAGGGTGGTTAACATCTCTGTTATAACTTGCATGTTTTTCCATTCATTCTTACAGCAATTTAGAGCTGATTTAAACCCCAGGAGATCATGGCTGGGTCAGTCACATGCGTGTTTATTTTTTTCTTGAAACCTCTCAAAAAGCTGACAGATTTGAAGGGAAATAGGCATTTGCCAGGAGCTTCTAAATACCTGTCCATCAACATAGAAGTGAAATGTC